ACTCAGGAGGATGTCTTAGCCAGAATTCTCCCCGAGAAGTGAGCTGAGGGCTTGCACGCCAGCAGTTTATTTGGGAAAAACATTCCAAGGTAGAGGAGTAGGTGAGCATGAGGAGGAAATGAGAATGGGCTGAATCCTTAGTTACTTTCCTCTGACTAGGTTATGGTAGCTGCAGTTGTTGGTTAAACATGTTAGCATTGTTAAACATTGTTAGCATGGCGTTGACGCACCAAGAGGCTCCATCACATCACCTGAATTCTGGAATTGTTGCATATTCTAAGACCTAGCATACAATTATTCCATCAACAAAGCACTTCATTTCTTTAATTACTAGCTGTCTGCAGGGTAACCCCTAATGATCCATTGGCAGTCATAGGTTCTAATTCACTGAAGTACCTATCTTGCTTCCTAAGGGAATTACAGCCATCTTCCAAGAACCAGGATTTCTAATATAACTAATTTTAGATTAAGATTGTTCATCTCGACTCAGTTCATGACTGTTAAGTCAGAATCAGGTCAGCCGACCCTCTAGCAGGTTTTGGAGGTGGTGACGAGGAGATAGCCCATCTTTATCCCACATGTAGATTAGAACTTCCAGAGAAGTGTCACCTTTGGGTTTGGAGCTAAGTGCCCTACAGGCAATGTCATCTCATAACTGCATCTCTGAAAGAGGAGCCAGTCTATGTCTACCCCTTGGTTTTAGTGCCTGTAGCACTAAATTCTAGCAGTTGGGGACACAGATGGATCACTTGATCCAAGTGCCATACGAGCCGATAACACAGCCCAAACCTGTGGGAAAGCGTCTTTTTTCCAGGCCCCTTAAAATTTGGCAACAGCGTAATAAAGGGATAGGAGCAGTATTCACAACTATCCCACACACCACCTCCAGTGTCCACACGAGCTCATCTAGTACTGTGCCTTTTTCAGAGCAGCTCATTGAACAACTTGACTTTTCCCATGCCTGGGCCATTAGGCCCCTGGAAATCTCATTGATGCTGAGACTCGTAATTTTTCGTAGATTTTCTTTCCTATCATCTACTGTGTCTTAAGGAGAATCCGGATCCTTGTTCCCTATTTCAACTGGGATAAAAGTAGTTGACTTATATGATGTTCCATAATGTCAGAAACTAATGTCACAAGGTGCTTGGCTTATTTATAACACTGAGTAGGAAATAGAGCCCACTAAGACCAGACTCTGACAAATATGCAGCGCTGCTGAGGAGAGAACTGAGGATTGGATGAGGAAAGTAAGAGGAATCTGAGTCAAGGACTTTTAAAACCTTTTTATCCCCTTTGTCTCCTTTCTGACTTCAGAGTTGCTGGACTCCAGTTCCAAGATAAGTGAGATGTAAGGTTATATATTCCAGTGTTATTCCCAGATGTTGTGAGGTGGCCTCAGGTTGACCCTGACTTTGGCAACCCCATGCAAGATGAGATTCAAGCTTTGTGGTCTAGAGAATTCCCATTGGCTAATTTTCAGAAGTAGACCACTAGACTTTCCCTCCTTCTCTATCTTAGTCTGTACACTTTGCTGACAGATGAGTATTGACTGCCCTTGAGATACACTGGCCAGGAATTCATCCTGAGTCTCTTGCATAGAAGGTATGACTTCTACCCTGGAACTACCTAAATGCCCTTACTCTCTACCCATTGCCATCAGATTGATTCTGACTCAGAGACCCTGGAGAGCACTGTACAACTAACTGCTCCTTTAGAAGATTTGTAAATCCTGACTGAAGTAGCATGTCACTTCTTTTTCCCACTGGTGGGTTAAAACCTCTGATCTTTTGGTTATCATCCAAGCATTTAACTCCTGTACCACTTAACACTGTTATTCCCTGATTAAATGAAAACCAAACCCATTGCTGTGAAATTGATCCCTCCCCATGACAACCCTCCATCTGATTTCTGAGCGTGTAAATCCTGACGGAAGCAGACTTTCTAACTTTCTGTGGGAGAACAGTCTGTGGATTCAGACTGCCAGTTAGTGGTTAGGAAATTATTGGTTGGTTCACTAATTTGGGCTACTTATCCTGTCATGGTTTTTAAGTTGTTATTAGATACCTCAAGTGGACCACAACTCTTAGCAACCCCGTTGAACAACGGCTCTGAGCCTTACCCTATCTTATACGCCCTAACAAACTGATATGGTTGAGGCTATTATTAAAGTCACTGTATCAATTAATTTTGTTAAAGGTCTTCCTCTGACCTTCCACCTTGGCAGCATGATGTATTTTTTGCATGGACTGGTCTGTCCCGCAATATGCTAAAAGTATCTCAGGCAAAGTTTGACAATCCTTGTCTCTAAGAAATAATGTGGTTGTACTTAGTTTAAAACAGACTTGTGTGGTTCTTTTGGTGGTCCCTGGGTTAGTCATTACTTATCCTCCAACATTATAGTTCAAGGACATTGAATCTTCTCTCACCTTATTCATTGTCCAGCTTTCAAATGCATAGGAAGCAACTGAAAATATCATGATTTGGATCAGGCACACCTTAGTTTTTAAACTGATATCCTTGCTCTTTGAAACTTTTCAGAGTAATTGTTGTTGTTGTTGTTGTGTGCTAGCAACTTGGAACTGACCCATACCTGACCCTCCAGTGGGTTTTCAAAGGCACTTAATCACACGGGAGGAATCTTTTCACAGTAGTGGTTGTTGTTGTTGTTGTTGTTATATACTATAGAGTCATAACTGACTCATAGATGAACCTCCAGTGGGTTTTCAGAGGCAGTAAATCAAATAGGAGTTGATTACCCGTCTTTCCCCGTGGAGCAGGTGGCAGATTCGAACAGGGTCCTTTTGGATTGTCAGCACAATTCCGTACCACTAAGCCACCAGAGTTAGAGCTGTTTACTAGACTTCCTGATTTGAGCTATAGAAAAGAAAATATACCTGAAGAACAATGTGCAATCTCTGGTATTAGTAGAGGCAGTTTCTTGGAGCTCATTCCAATTCCCTGAGGTTATCTCAAGAGAAGTCCTTCTGTATACAACTAAAATCTAAAGGTTGTTGTTATGAGCTGTCGAGTCGCTTGTGACTCATAGCGACCCTGTTTACAACAGCCCTAAACCCTGGTCTCTCCTGTGCCAATCGCACTGCCCCTGACACACCCATCCCGATTACCCCGGTCACTGAATAAATCCACCTCATATAGGGTCTTTGCCTCCTGCGCTGTTCCTCCTCCCTCCCAAGCATGATGTCCCTCTCCAAGGACCGGTCTCTCCTTACAACATGTCTAAAGTATGTCAGACGAAGCCTCAGAATCCTTGCCTCCAAGGAGCTGCCTGGTTTAACCCTCTCCAGGATGACATTTTCTTACTTAACCTTATGCAAATATTCATCATCAATACATCATTTTAATGATGTGAGCAATAACTAGCAAATGATATTTTTGTTATTGTTGTTGTT